AAAGTAATTAATTAATTAAGACTCCAAGAGGTTAAGTATCTTGAACACAAATGGAGTGGCTAAGTGGCAAAGCCATGACCACAACACTTAACCATGGGTCCCTCTACACCTACCATGTTTATTGAGTGCCTCTGCTACCACTTGAGGACTGTGAACACATAGAGAACCATGTTTCCTCTGGAAGGCACGGTCACCACCACCACCACCACTGTTCTCCTTGCTCTAGTAAATTCCCATTGCTGGCACCCACCTGCCCCCGAGGACCAGACCTTGCCCCAAGTGATTAGCTGGACCCACACATCCTCTTCCTGCCACCCCACTGGAGGTTGCAGAGAAGGTACAGTGTAATACATCACAGGATTTTGGCCCTTTATGCACACTGCTTTATACTTGGCAGTACAGACCACTGGACAAGGGCATGGGGCTCAAACCAGACCTCAGTTTAAACCTGGGCACCTTCTAGAACGTGGTATGTCTCAGCTTCCTTTTCTGTAAAATGAAAACAATAAAACTACATATGCCAAAGACTGAAGTGAGAACTAACTGAGTTAATAATACAAGCAAAATATTCAAGATAATCCCAGCACAGAAGCACTAGCTAAACATTATTTTTAAAATTAAAATTATTATTGTTTTTATTTCATATTACCAACTTAGGCAGGTTTTACAAAATTAAGCATATTTTCTGCAAATAAAAAGACTTAGAACAGGGGCAGACACATGATACACACTAAATGTTACCCATCATTATTAATTTTCAAGTACTAGCACAAAAATATGTGCTGAAGATGAATTTTCATGTATGTGCTGATGTCATTGAGTGCTACCTTTTTTTAAAAACCAGCATAAAGAAATTGTTAGGAATTGAATGAAAACTTTAAAAATGTTTTTAAAAACTTTATCAGAACACTACATTACAAACAAAAAAGACTTTAGTAAAATTGGGGAAATTTTATTGCATAAAAATACTTGCCTTAGAGAACCTAGCCACAATCAACTAAATAGACACACATTCTAGAATGTCAAGTACGAAAGAAAGTAACAAGAACCACATCTGCTGTTCTGACGCTCCCATTTGCCAGATGGGAAAAATCAGAGGTCACCCCAGCTGCCCAGGGTCACCAGCTACCTAAGGAAAGACACTGATACCAGAGTGAGGTTTTTAATCTCTGTACCAGAGATTTTTCTGGACAGTCCAGAAAAATCAAGAAATTTTCAGAAACCAACAAAAGATTGATAGTTTTAACAAGAATGGATTATTTCATGAAAGAAAGGGCATTCTTAATGTGAAGACAAAGGGAAAAAATCTCAGCGTAGATCCAACAAATGGCAGTGGCCTTCTATTCAGTGTGTGTGAGTACGCGTGTGACACAGCAATCCTTGTCTTCATTTCACCATGTATTTGTGCAAACTTCATGCAACTCCCTTGGAATCAGCCTTTGGGACCATTGCTCTATCCTGTCATGCCATGATTAACCAATATGCACTTGCATTGTCATTTATAATTTACAGGAAGTTTAATTTAATAACAACTATCTAAAACACTACTAAAATTTTAGAAACCGGAATCCAATTAAGCCAATTCTGAAGTCTGCATGGGAAAAGAGTATTAACCACTACAAATCTTCAAACTTCTGAACTGAGTTAACCAAACGAAAGGGCCATCAGCAGATGCTCCTGTGCTGTAAGATTCAAAGCCCTACAGAGTTTCCTTGCTCCTAGCAGTTCATTCTACAGTTCCATATTTGCTTCCCCAATATAATGATCCCAGTGTGTGAATTCCAGATTCACTCTGATATCTTCCTCTGCCACATACAAAGGTTTCAAAAACTTTGTTGGAGGAGTCTTAGTGCAAACAATTCTTCATTAGAAAACTTCCTGATAATGTCTGTTTTCTGATGATATAGTCTCACCAGTCAATATGGCCAAAATGGGGCTAAGGCTTAACATCAAGGAAAGGTTGGGAATAAAATGTGTCTCTTCTCATTGAAATACCTGAATATCTGACCAAACCCCAATGAAGAACATATAAATCTCCCTTTTAGAGAAAGACTGGTGGATATCTAATTGAAAAGGAACACAATGCTAAATGCGAAAGCAAAAGCATCTTACCCTAAGAGGGATGTTAAGGGAGAAAATAAATAACAAAGATTTATTGCTAGACATGTTCTAAGCAAGTGATTCTGAACTAGGGGTGATTTTGCCCACTGAGGGGTATGTGACAAGGTCTGGAGACACATTTTGTGGAAGGAGCAGTGCTGGCCTCTAGCAAGAAGAAACCAGAGATGCTCCTAAACATCCTGCAACGCAGTGGAGAGCTGCACCCAGTAGGGAATTATCCGGCACAAAATATTAGTAGCACTGAGGCTGAGAAAGTGTGTTCTAGGCTTCGAGAAGGCAACAGTGAACGAAAAACAGAGAGAAGCCCCTGCTCCCTTGAAGCCTGCACCCTAGTGTGGAGTCACACATAGCAAACATAACCCACCAGCAAATTACACGGCAAGTTATAAGCACTGTGGAAAAAAAACCAACTGGACGAGGAAGACAGTGTGGGGTCAGAGCAACTGTGAATACTGTGGTCTCAGAAGGCCACGCTCTCCGTGTCCAGTGACATTTAAAGTAAGGTCACATTGGTCCACAGAGAGTAAGTGCTGTGGCTGTCCCGACAAAGGATGGGCCAGGCAGATGCAAGGGCAATATAGGAATGCCCAAAGGTGGACAGATGTGGGCATTCCAGGAACAGTAAGGAGACTAGCCTGGCTGGAGCACAGGGAGCCGCAAGAGCTGGGGTCAAGCTGGCAGGCTACCTGATCGTGCAGCCTGCCTTAAATCATTTTAAGGACTTTGGGTTTACTACGAAAAATTAGGTGCCATGGAGAGCTTTGAGCAGAGAAAGATGTGATGTGACTTGAGTTTTAACACAGAATTTCTTAACCTTAGCTCTATCCACAGTTTGGGGTCAGGTAATACGATGTTGTGGGATTGTCCTGTGTACTTAAGAATGATGACCAGTGGCCCTGGAATCTATTTAGAGGCCAATAACAAGCCCCTTCCACCATAATGATCAAAATGTCTCCAGACATTGCCAAATGTTGGGGGGTATGCGCAAAAATGTCCCCTGGTTGTAAATTAGTTTTAACAAGAACACTGGGGCTAAGCTGAAAATCCACTCTACGTGGATAAGCGTAAAAGGCAGGAGACTGCCTAAGAGACAACTACAATAACCCAGGCAGAGCTGATAGCAGTTTGATTCATAGTGATGGCAGAAGAGTTGGCAACAAATGAGTGGATTCTGGATACATTTTCAGCTCCAGGAGACAACAGGAAGAATACAATTGAGAGATGATCCAGCTGCAGTAGCCTTAATGCTTGAACTACAATTTTTCCCAACCAGGACTTATAAGAAGTAAAATGGCTGAACAAAGACTTAGGAAGCAATGAGAAGGCCCCAAACAAAGTGTATCCTTTCAAAGTCACACAACAGATGTCGACGACAATACCTTAGACAACTGCGGAAAACACTATAGGGAAATGTTGCCAACTCCATATATTTATTCACAGATTTTATTTAACTGGTTTATTTCAAAGAGCATGTGTCTGCTCTACATACAAGTTTTACAACAACTTTTTAAATTTAGTCTTCCTTTTCCATACTACTGCTGTCCCACACCTGCTTCCAGCATCAATGTGTGAAGCCATCTCTTCCCACACACCCACATTTTTCCTGACACGTGCTTGCTAGCTAGCTACCAAGGACATGCACCCTCACAAATAATTTTTGCTGACTCTGAGAAAGATCAGGCCCAACATGAATGCAGTGGCACTCATCTGGAGCTTTCCAGATGGTATTTTCCTCACTCCCTCAAACTCATTTAATGTTATGTATCAGCTACCATCAAAAATGTTCCAAACAGTCCGGTTAATTCATTTCTTTCAGGACTCCACTCACAACTCGCTCCCCATTCTAGCCATGTAAGCATTTGCTTATAGAAACAAAAGCAGAGACTGCTCAGTAAAACACTAGTCCCTTCAGCCGAATCCAGATAAAGCCCCAATGAGCATAACCAACAATACCCCTTACACAATATTACTCAAATCCCCCAGCCCCCAACACACACAATCTATGCTCACACACAAAATAGCCATTATGAAGAGAAGCCACCAGCTAAAGGCTGGTTTTATGCATCCTTCCAAACTGCCTCAAGCAACTGCAAAAAAGGCTGCTTCAGCAAGGGCTACCTGCTGCCCGGGGTCTGCTCTTCCCAGATTTTCTTCCCCAACTTGGATTCAGAGTCTGCCCACAGCCCTGAAGGAATCACACCTGGCTCCACTTTCTGTCAGAGCAAGAACCAGACTTGTCCTCTCCAGAAGCAAGGATTCTACCACCTTGCTCCTGACTCAGTTGCTCTTTCCCATCCCCCACCCCCCCACCCCCCCACCCCCCCCGATTTCTGAACTCTCTCCTCCTCCACCAGCCAGGCCCCTTCACCCAGGCCCTAGTCACACAGAGGCAGAACTGGGAGGTGTGCACCGGTGCTGCACAGCTCAACTCCTCCAGTTACACAGCCCTGTCGCAGCAAGAGGGAATGGAAACAAACCCTTTTCTGCTATCACAGCGTCAAGCAACCGCATTGAAAAACGAAGTGCAAGGGGTCCAGGGTGTCCACAGGGCAAGGAGAAAGAGTCAACGCATTCAGCCACGCAAATGGGAAAGTCGGTGGCAAAGAAAGTGGCACTGGGAGTGGGGGGCGCCAGATCAGCCGGTGTCTTCACGGCGCTCCTCAAGTTTTTGAAGCGCCTAGCAAACTAACACGTGCCGCTGCCAAAGGGGGCACTCCCAATAAGCCCAAGGCTCTCCCCTCCGGAGGAAAGGCCTGGGTTTGCCCCGGGCTTTAGTGACAGCGAGCTACACCTGCACGCGAAGCCACGCCCCCCGCAGGCCCCGCCCCCGCGCTCCCACAGTAGTCGGGCAGGTGAGAGGCGGAGCCCCGGAGTCTCACCTGGAGGCCGCCAGGGGCTGGTCTTCCCAGAGGGCCGGACCGCAGGCGGGCTAACTGCTCCCCTCGAACGTCGAGTCTCATCCATTCCCAAGCTCTCCCTCTCCCGGCCCGCAGTCCGCTCCAGTCTTCCGAAAGGGTTCAGCAGAAATTCTCCCGCATCCCACCTGGTCCGCAGCCCGGCGCAGCGCTCCTCCTCGTTCCCCACGCGCCGAGTCGCTCCCTAGCCCCCACAGACACTCAGCAGCCGGCAGCCCCAGCACAGGGTCCCCGTGTAGGGACACGCGGCTCCCGGCCGCCCGCTGCGCCCTCAAGGTGCGCGCTCTCCCCGCACCTCGCCCCGGGGTGCGCGGAGAGGCCCCCGGCCGCGGGGGGCAGGTCGCCCTCGGCCCCAGGGCAAGGGCACGGGGTCCTTGTCCCAGGGCTCAGAGACCGGCTCTGCTCGCCCCAGGTGGCAAGCGCGGGGCCCGCCCGCCTCCCGCCGCGCCCCCTTCCAGCTGTTCCCACTCACCTGCTCTTGAGAGGTTGACTTTTGAGTTCGTAATAGGTTTTCGGCTCCTCGTGAAACTCCTCCCCTACTTCGAAATCAGGCACGATCCCTGATTCCGATTGCATGGCTTTGGCTTCCCGGCCTTCCACTGCTCAAAAGTGAAAAAAAAGCCCAGGGACTCAAGGAAGGTGGCCGGGCCTGGGTCCCCCAGAGGAGTGCGCCCCAGAGCAGCGCCCAACCCGCTCGCCCGCTCGCTGCTGCCCGCCCCCGCGCGGTGAGTTTACACTCAGACCCGAGCGGGAGGGGCCGAGCCCCAGCGCTATCTGGAAGGTGCAGTTCCTACTTGGGCCGAGCGCCCTGGATCTCTAGGGGAGAAGCTCCCTAGAAAAACTACAGTTCCCAGAAGGCCAAGCGAGGGAGCGGCAACGAGGTGGACACCGCTAGAGCAACTCCGGTTCGGATTCATTGTCAATGTCAGCAGCTCCTCTTCCTCCTCTCTTCCCACTTGCTTCAAGGGTACAGACATGGCTATTTAATATTAATAAGAACGGACTCAGCTCGCTGTCCTGCGGTCAACCCGCCTCCTCCAGCACAGACATTTGCGAGAGCACGCCAAGTCCTTATTTTAAAAATAAAATAGGGAAGAGTTTTGGTAGTAGAAAGTTTTAGCATTCAAGCCTGTCTTAAAAGAACTTCCTATCAGCGTTCATGTTTTCCTGGGCTGCTGCGACGTATCAACTAGTCTTCGGGTTGAAAAGAGTGTTGGAACTTTCCTTCACACTGTAATGAAAACAGGATTGGAGAAGTTACCTTGTGCGATCTTTTCCCGGAATTAACCCAGTCTGGACTTTTTCATCAGCAGAACGACTCTTTCTCGTTTATCAAATTAGCCTCCTCTTATCTAAAGGCGCACTCGAAAGATTCGGTTAATTTAAAAATGCGCAGTTACAGAATGGTATCGTCGCTGTCTGCTTTAAATTTCTCAATTGGCTGAGAGTTCAAATGACATTGTCCTAAAATTTCACGAGTTTGTCAACCCCTTTGGGGGTAACAACAGACCATTGGGCTTTAGCTCATTTGTCCTGTCAGTCCTGGCCTTCTAGTCTTGAGGCATCTGTAAGGCGGTAGAGTCGAAAGGTGGCATTTGAACTTACAAAACTCAGAGGTGAAATCTAAGAACCACTGTGCAATCCTGGGTATGTCCCTTGATTCCTAGAAGCCTCAATTTCTCCATCTATAAAAGGAGAGATTGAGAAATCTGTTCTAGAAGGTGTTGCAAGGTCAAATCAAAGGGAAAGTGATTTATAATGTGTTTTTTAAAAAAACTCAATAGACATCAATCTTGAAGCTACACTTTTTTCAGATTTGATCTTGAAGATACACTTTACAGACTAACTTTCAGAAGTGATGTTTTTTCCTTTCAGAAGTAATAAAACCAAATGGTCATTCTAAACTGTGTGTAGTCCTGCAGGCCTGAAATCCCTGAATAGTGGGAGGCTGAGGCAGAAAGATAGAAAGCTGGAGCTGAGCCTACTTAGCTACTTAGTGAGAACCTGTGTCAAAATTTAAAATTTTAAAGAGGTCTGGGGATGTAGCCCAGAGCAAAGGGCTTGGGTTCAATCCCCAGTATCAATAAATTAAATAGTCATTGTAGGAGGAGACTCTAAGAAGGCTAACTGGGGACTAGAAATATCTCAAGAGTTGCCCTTTTTCACATCTTGCCTCACAGTGAAACATTTTAATTTCACATCAGAAAAGATCTCTAGTAGATGAACTGGTTTCAGAGCAGGGGATATCAAGGAAATGTAGAAAAAGTACAGGGGCACACTGTGTTGCAGTAGCAATTACCAAAATCCCATAATAAAATTTAGTGACCAAAATACTACTTTTTGGTCTTTCACTGTAAACCCTAAAATATGAGTGAAAAATTGAAAATATCCTCAGGGAAAACCATAGTATTCCTTGATAGACAAATTACTGGAAATTGAATGTCAAAAATGAAGAGTATTACTCTCTGCCAAAGGAAAAAGAGAAGTAAAATAGGAAGGAAACATGCAGTCATTTAGGTTCTCCACTATCAGTGTGTGGTATGCTGGAAGAGGGGTGGACCAGAGACACTATACATCCTGCACAATAACAAACTTCTTCCTCCAAATGTCAGTGGAAACTCCACCAAGAAACACTAGGGTCTTCTTAATCTTATGGCTCACCAGAACCCAACCCCTGCCCTCGTAATGGGAATTGAACCCAGGAAACTTTCGCCTGCTTAGTTAGGTACTCTACCACTGAGCCACATCATATCCCCAGCCTTCTTTTAAATTTTGAGACAGAGTCTTGCTAAGTTGTCTAAGCTGGCCTTGAACTTGTGATCCTTCTGCCTCAGCCTCCCAAGTGCCTGATATTACATGCATGTACAACCATGCCTAGCGTCAGAAGCTTTTAAATCTGATGAAAGCTATGGACATTTTAGTATGGATTTCTTAGGAAACACAGATATAAACAAAATATTGTGTACAATTTTGGTCTCTGACCTTTTGAAGGTCATCACAGACTTCATTATAGAACTGAGGTTTATAACTCTTTAGAGCTGGAATGAAGCAGTCCATTATGCCACTTGCTATATTAAACAATCGCCTCCCAAACCTAAAGGAAAAAACTGTCAGGAAAGCTGGGACCCCTGAACTATTTCTAACTGAGGGCACCTCCAGTGGACATGCCTGGTGTAGAGAGCTCTGAGCTGAGATATGCACAGATTAACTGCTATTGCTTCTGCTACACTTTCCTAGAATTGTCCATTACAGTGTTATCTGCCACTCTACAGGAGTGGGTGTGTGACCTTATCCTGGCCAATCAGAGGGCCCCATTTGCCTAACTACAGTGATTCCATTTTTTTTTTTTGGTACTGGGAATCGAACTCGGGACTTTGTACTTGCGAGGCAGGCGCTTGAACCACTGAGCTAAATCCCTGGCCAACAGTGATTCCTTTGAGAGTGGACAGGGGGCCTTAACATAACTAGAAGTCCTCTTTGGGATTTTCCTGCTAGAGTAGCTGGGGAAGAAGATCTGATTTGGGAAGAATGGTGTTGGAAGGAAGAAAGCCTGGAGCTCCATACTTTGGCAACATAAGGAAGGTGATGGGAGATGGAGGAGAATGAAGATCAATCAAGAGAAGCATAGATCAATTCAAATCCTAGGGATTGAAAAGCACAACTTTCTTTCAAGTTCCTTGTTCCAGCCATAACTGGAGTCAGCTATTCTTAGACTTTCCAGATGGATGAACAAGAAATGTCCTCGTCGTTAGAACTTCTTTGAGTTTTTTGTCACTTATGGCCAAAAGAGCTTTGTGACATCACCATAAAAATCTTTCACTCCTTTAAATGGATAATTTGCTATGGGTTACCACACCATTAATCTACATAACAAACAGCCGCTTGATAGATGTCCCCTGTAAATTTCTCTTCATTAATGAGTTAAAACCTTGAATAAGTAACATCTCTAGAAATGGATGGTAAATCAATAATACCTCTATACATTTAAACTGAGGATTGTGCCTATTAAATATACAGAAGCAATGACTAGAGATTATAATTATTGTCAGTAATTTTATTTGCATTTACATAATATTTTACATACACTTGTCACACAAAAAAATCTCTTATTGAAACTGACAGAAATCCTGCAAGGATAGATAAGCAAGGATCACATGCACTGAACATGTACTATGTGTGAGGCTGGAGTTGTGTTAGGTACTCGGGCTACAAAAATATACTAACACCTGCCCTTTTGAGGTACACAGTCCAAGAGTTTAATCAAGACTGTGTAACACAGTGAGGAAACCCACATAGAAGAGCAAGCCTAAGTAGCAGATAGCTGGTTGTGAGCTGTACTCCCATATCCAGCTAGCTCAGGAACTATTTATGAAGCATGTACTTTGTGCCAGTCACAGTGTGCACTAAGTATGGAGGAAAGAACAGCAATGACTCTTAGATGGTCCCTGCACATGGTTCCTGCTTTTTAGAAATAGGAATGGACATAATATAATGCATAAGGTGCATTAGTACTTTCCCATCACTGGAACGCAATACCCACCTAATACTCACGACTTAAGGGAAGAGGGTTTATTTGGTTCACAGTTTCCTGTGGGTTTAGTCTAAAGTTGGCTGGTTCCAAGACAGAAGTGCATGGTGGAAAAGCATGGCAGAGGAAAGCTGCTCACCCCATGGCAGCCAGGAAGCAGAGAAAGAAAGGAGGAGCCAGGGACAAAAGCACACCTTCCCAGGTCATACCCCCAGTTAACAATCTTCAACAATGCTCGACCTCCTCTTAACAGTGTCTTCAGCTACTGAACTCATCAATAAATGAGCCATGATCCAGCCACCTTACAGACACATGTGACTTTGGGAGGACATTTTAGATCTAAACTATAACATAAAAGGTTTTGTTTTGGGGGGCAGTTTTTGGTACCAAGGATCGAACTCAGGACCTTGTGCTTTGTGAGGCAGGCAGTGGCACCACTGAGCTAAATCCCTAGCCCAACATAAAGAGAATGATAGATAGGTAAAGACTACGTGTGTCTAAGAAAAGAGCACTCAGGGTAGGGGTAGTAATGAAGAATTCTTGGGGGAGTTAGGACAAAGCTAGATCTTAAAAAAAAGGAAAAATCTAAAGTATATGAAAATAGAATGTACTCAAGCCCCTAGAATTAACCATCAATTTACAGGGGGAAAAATGAGCAAGAGGAACATGATAACAACATGACAAGGATACAATCAGAAGACCCAGAGATTTAGAAATTCTACAGCACATTAAGAAATTCTCCAAAAATAAGTAGTATGAAATAAAGAGGAAGGAAGAACTGCTATAGGTTTCGGGAAATTTAAGAGACATATTAGGCTTGTAAATTATAGCTTAATAAAAATAAGTTGGGAGAAAAAGAACATATCCCTTAATTATATTTATTGTGCGGGGTATATTTGAAGGCTCATTCAAACAAACCAATTATAAAAATCCATTTTGGGGAAAACAGAGCTATTACATAATATGTCATTTTTAATTAGTTGTGGTAATGGTACTGTTTATTTTTAAGTTATTTTCTGTTAGAGGTACATATAAAGTATTTATGGGTGAGATAATATGATGCCTTATAATTGCTTTAAATTACTTCATCTCTTCTCTTCCCATTTCCACAAAAATAAGGAAAAAGGAAAGAGGAAAAATGAGTGATAAAATGCAAAATGTCAGAGCTGCATGGTGGGTTATAAGAATTCACTGTA